AACTGCTCTCCCTTAGTTGAGCATCAGCATCTTCAGTAAGATATATATATATATTTTTTTTTTGGTAAGAACTGCTTCATCAGATAAGATTGATGTACCGACTTCCTGGAAATTAACTGAAATTAAGAAAGTTTTTTACCGCAGGATTGTCTCAGTCCTTTGTTTCTGGAAATTTTGAAAACATCCAACGTATATCAGGCCCTATACTCTTTCAAGTCCGGACTATGTATCTAATTCTTAGCTACTTTACAGAATACCTTTCTAGAAGATGCAAATTTTGTTTCAGAAATCCATGTGCCTACTGAAGCTTTCTTAAGCAGCAGCACCATGATGTAGCAGAGAGAACTTTAGTTGGATGAGACAGGCAATGTCCAAGAAAAAAAATCTTGTTTTATTGTTTCTAATGTACTTTTTAAATTACTGTCCTTCTGCTTGGATAAGATCCTTTCCGGCCTTCTTAGTTTTTTTTTTTTTTTTGGATCTCATTAGCTCCCAGGACACAAGATTTGGCATCATCTCTAAGACAAATATGCCTAAATATGTCTGGAATCACTTGTGACAAGCAGCTCTGTGGGCCCCACTTTGCTGAAGAACTTTAGCAATGCTCAAAAGGGATTTTTTTTTTTCTGCAACAGATACTAAAATAATTCCTATTCCTCAGCATTTAGTAAGTTATTTCTGTGGTATCTGTTAGAGAAAAGCAAAAAGTGAAAAGGGAGATTTTCAGGTTCTGCTGAGTGTTGAGCTGTCCAAGTTGGAGATGTGTCCTTGAAGCCCATTCAGTACTCACAGCCCTGTGTTCCACAGTTCTGTGAGGATCTGTTCTTCTGTGCACGCCAGTGCTCAAGACCGGCATCGCTGTGGCTTGATTCCAGCATTATGTTTCAGATAAATGCAGAGTTTCTTCATTTCCTCATTGTAAATCCCAGTCTTGAATGGAACTGATGGAACATCTCAGAGGTTAAATCATTGCTGCAGAGAGTCAGCACCAGAGAGGACAGCCAGTCCTGAAAGTGGTAGAAAAACAATTACCAATGTGCATTTTTTCCATCTCAGCCCAATATGGTTTTTGTTGCTGCAAATAAGACACAACACTCTTATCTTCTCTCTCCTTATCTAATCTTTCTTTAATTGGTACGTCTTGTGTTGGCCTTTCATTTTCTCCCTTTTACCAGACTCCTGGTAACTCCCACCACTCCTTTGGCTGGTAGTGGTGTAAATCCGTGGTGCACAAAACACGAAGGGCTAAGACTAATCTTGCTGGTTGGTGGAGCTGAACCAGCAGCAAAGGTAGTATCTTCTTAAGAGAAGTGCAGACACATTTGCAAATGAAGAGTGGATGTATAGCTAAATGAACATCAAACTCCTCTCTCAGGACTGCTATGACAGAAAGTCCTAGAAAGGAATTGTCCTAAAAAAGGCCACAACAGACGAATAATATCTGCCCACACCAGAGTCTCTATGAATAGTTATTGTTCCTGACAAATGTATTTTAGTTTGCCTTGGTAGATGTAAGTAAAGATTGAACTTCATAAGAAATTACAGTTCCAAGTATAATGAAATAAGAAACTATGTGATGATGTTTTGCAAGTGGGCTACAGGATAAGGAGGGATTTTGTTCATATAATGTTTTAGCCGATATGGAATATTTTTTGAAAAAGGATTTGAGGTTAACTTATGAAGAAACCACAATTTTAAAAACCTTTCAGAATTCAGAACTTGTTACTAATCAGGGTGGGTTTTTTTTTTTTTTTTAGGATTAATTATATTTAAAGAATAATACAAAAAAGCCTGATGTGGACTTTGCATGTTTAGCTTCTGATGCAAGGGAATGAATACATTGGTTGCTTTCCTCATCTAGGGATAAGAAATCACATTAATATCTGTATCCCTGATTTTCCTTATCCTCAGTATAGCCCTGAAATCTGATCAGCCTGGTTGATTATGAGTATCAATGTATTTAGGAGAGTGAATGACTCAGAGGATTTGGATTTGGGTAATGGGATCTGGAGTATTTAGCATCTTTAGGTCATTAGTTCAAATTCTGTTTAAGCTGCCATTGCTAGTGCCCTCTGAAGTCAGGCATATATGGATTAAGCTTGTGGTCCCAGCAGTTGCCCTGGAGAGCCCTCTCTTCATTACTGCCCACATCAGCAGTGTCAGGAAGAAGGTCGAGGAGTGAAATGGCAGGTTACTGATTATCTGGATTCATCCATAGCAGAGGGACAGTGGAAAGTGCATGTTGCTGGTGTGTGCTCTTCACAAAGAGGACACGTGGCAAAATGAGGCAGCAGGTTTACAGAAACACCTCATTGCACTGTGCCCTTTGTTGCTCTGGATTCTTAAATAAGTGAAGGTTCAGAAAAGTGATGAGCAAAAGCAGGGAGGATGGATAGTCTGGAACATAGCCTCTGATCCAGGAAATCTTCAGAACATCAGTCACTTGAGCCTGGGAAGTTACAAAGAGGAAAAACTGTTCTATGCTTGTCTTATTTCTTATGATCTTTTCCCCCAACTACTTGCTGCTGACCTCTGCTGTTGAGGAGAGGATGGTGGGTTAGGCAGAGCTTTGGACTGAAGTAATATGTCAAGATCTTGCATTCTCAAACCTACTGTTACATTATAAGGCAATATTATGTCATTGCAGAAGAAAAAGAGCAGTGGCCAGTCAGCAGTAACAAGTGTTCACAAAGCAGTAATGTGTCGATCCCTCACTTCCCTTTCTTATTTTTGTTTAGGCCGGTGACAAGCATTATCATCCCAGCTGTGCACGATGCAGCAGGTGCAACCAGATGTTCACGGAAGGAGAAGAAATGTATCTGCAAGGTGAGGATGTCTCCAGGCCCCAGCTGCATCAGAAATGGTAGACTCAGGTCTGCAGCTGTTCACACGACTGGCGTGGAAACAGCCCTGCAGCCAGGGCCTCCTTAGTTCATCGCCTGGCAGTAAAGGAGCTTGTTCTCTTGCTAAACCCAAACTAGAAAATCAGACTTAATTCATCTGTCACAGAACTCAGAGATTTATAAAACATCTGTATGTTGTACAGGCAAAGAAGACTGGAGCCATTCTGGCTTCATTGCAGCAATCTAATACTTTTCCACTTAAGGATGCTTTATTAAATGGCCAAACATTGACTTCACAGTCACTGCACACCTTCACTGCCCCAGATTACCTTTCCTAAAGGTGTATAGCAAAATAAAACCCACAACTTGTGGTTGGCCCAGAGTTGAGGATTTTGCAAAATACACTTAACTTCCCAAGGCCGCTGTCTTATCTGCGTTTTAAGTTTTCACATATCTCAAACCTCTTACCATTTTCTGAAAGAAAACTCAAACTGTTAGCACAGTTCCACCCTCAAAAATGGCTTGAGACCCTCTTGTCTTGTTGACTTTCAACAGCTCCAGAGTTTGCCTAAGCTGTTTCTAAAATGAACCCAATTTGTACCAAATGCTGCCCCAAATCACAGTGATAGCCTTTGCTTTGGTGATGGGCAAGTTTTAATTGGAAAGAAACCCAGCTACAGAGGAACCCAGAGAATTTTTACCAGGGCAATGCAGGAAGTCTGCAGCTGAATTGGAGAATTGAACCTAAACATTCTGAGTCTGATTTTTTTGGCCTTCTAGCTCAAACTCCCTCTTCCTGAGAGCTTAATTTGTCTGACCTTCTAATCGAAGGCACAGCGCCTGCTTCTCTCCCGACCTTTGCAGGCTCAGTAGGGTCCTGGCTTGGAGGCTGCTGTTTGTTTACAGTGAAGGCTGTTGGTTGTGGTCTAATCATTCCCTGCTGCCAAGTGCACAGTTTCTTCTTCCTCAGCTTAGCCTGAAAGCCAAACATCTCAGACCTCAATCCAGAGTCAGTGTTCTCTCCAGTCTCCTCATGA